GACCAGCACGAACAAACACAGGCGTTCACTACACGCTCTCGCTTTATGAGATATACGACGACAGATGGTTGTTGTCACAACATGTAATCAGTGAGTGTTGAATAGCAAAACCAGTCAGTACTTTACAAACTAAATGAAAAAAGGCCAGGTTTCTTTTTATCCACTATTATGTGATACATTTAGCATGTGATAAGTTGTAGAAACGCTACACTTCAAAGAGTAAATAAACACAAGAACTTCCATTTGTTTTCCGTTGTCAGATCACATAATGCCAATGTCATCGCAGGGCGTGGGACGGGAAGTGACTGAAAAGCAAATCAGCTTGGAATACATTCTGTGTTTCAAAGACAGCTATTTAACATGCAAGACTAGTGTAAATCGCATAATGCCAATGTCATCGCTGAGCGTGGGACGTGAAGTGACTGAAAAGCAAATCAGCTTGGAATACATTCTGTGTTTCAAAGACAGCTATTTAACATGCAAGACTAGTGTAAATTTTGCAGTAATGATTTTTTATTACGATCGAAATGGGCCGACCAATATGAATAATATCTCAAATCTATTACATGCCTATGAGTATGAAAGTCAAGTACATGCAATGCCTTGCAACTGGTATTATTGATAAACATAACTTGACAAACGTTCAGCCATTATAGGGGCGGTGGGGTAGCCAAGTGGTTAAAGCGTTCGCTCGTCACGCCGAAAACCCGGGTTCGATTCCTCCAATGGGTACAATGTGTGAAGCCCATTTTAGGTGTCCCCCGCCGTGATATTGCCGGAATATTGCTAAAAGCGGGTAAAACTAAACTCACCCACTCACTCCATTATAACCGACACTGTCCATGTATTTCATGCAACCCCGACTATTTTGCCGTCGCCAATGTCCGTGTATGAACCATACAGAGGCACATACAAATTGCATTTCTAACATTGCCATCGAAAAACATAGTTTTATTGCTTCCTTTTTAAAACAGTTTCTGAAGAGAGAATACAATACAACCATTCTGATTAACACATATAAGATTCAGATTTTAGATTCGCAAATCGTAATCGAGACGGGAAGCTATATGAGGACCTTAGGAGAACGCATAACTTGTCAGTTGACACGAATTATTATCAGTGAAGATCTTACCGGACCCGAGCAGCCCTAGGTCGAAGGGCCCGCCAGCTTGTCTTGGATGAGAAAGTTGAGGCATCATGGGTGAGAAGTAGGGTCATGCATCCTCATAAAGATGCTGGACGGGACGGCGAGAAAAGTGGCCAACAGCACTTCGATGAAGTGTGCGAGTCTACTAAACTCAAGGTGGTGATTAGTCTGAGTCAAGACAAATGAATACTATTACAGTCATGAGATAACTTGTTTGAAATACCCATAATGCCCTTGCACGATCTCATGAACAGTTACTGTCGATAGTCATCATGACTCCATGCTTGACATCAGTGTAACATCAGTGTAACTGTACATAAAACTGTGTTGTTTACAGTAACATTGCGGTTTTGCAGAGATTCACATGTGATATAAATGAACAATTTATATGATTTAGATAAATATGATAATATGCGCTCAAGAAGTCAACGCCACCCTTCACGTCTTCAGTCAGCTAGATGTGAACGGTGAACGCGCTGCGAATGTTGTGAAGCAGGTGAGTTTGTGGGATGCACGAGCAGTGTGTCCGTGCTCTACATGCTATGTAACGGGTCTGTCTACTACAGACGGACAACACGTGAGGTGAGGTGTGGTGAAATTGGGTTTTACGTCGTGCTTGAGAATATTTCGCTCATATGACGACGTGCATGCGTGTGTATGTGTATGTGCGGCTGCTTGTACTAGCCCAGACTTAAGCTGGTTTTATAGTGCTAGCCCACTGAGGTACCATGCCGCAGTGAAGGATGAATACCCCACTCAGACACATTATACTGACTCCGAGCCGACCAGTCCTTGTTGTACCAATTAATGCCGAGCGCCAGGCAGGGACCAACAAGTACCATATTTTAACGTCTTTTGGTATGACGCGATCGGGGATCGAACCCGCGACCTTCCGCTCTCCGGGCAGACGCTCTAACCACTACGCCACGGAGGCGGTCAGACAACACGTACTTACAATAGATCGTCCATACAGGTAAAATGTTAGCTTCCTCCGATGATAACGAGTCCCAGTGTACCAACTTGGTTTGTATGCATACTATGATTTTGCTTGCTTGGTTCCTCATTTCATTAAAATGCACATACAAATACACATTTGTTTGCATCTCTAACCAGGTGTAATCTTGAATACGAGTGGACGTTGCTTAGCATAGCATTAAATACATGTATAATACATTGTGTAGTATATGTGCAACATATACAGTATTGCAGTATACATATACAGTAAGGGCTGGACAGAAGGGCAAATAATATCGGTCTGTGACTGTGAGACAGACTGGGACAAGATATGGAAAACCAACAATTTGGACAACAGACCATTGTTTGGGTCATTTAATTGTAAATATAATTCAACTAGCTTAACCTAGATTTCGATATCCTTCGAATGTACATTTGGTTGAACCTGGAAAATATACATTTATCCCGAGACAAGAACGAATGTTTAAATATAATTAAAAAGTATAACAGGACGAGTATTCATTTTGTCTTTTGTCTTCTACCCGTCCCTACTAGACTAACAACTAGTCTCTGAAATGAACATATTTTACAGAAAAATAGTTCATAGTAAAAGTGAAAAATGTAATAAAAAGGAGCCCTGAGACATTCTCCGGAAGCTGTGGAAATCTACACTTGCCACATTTTTCTAGACTTGCGTGGGCTTCGATATATTTGCTTCAGGGTCTGTATGACAGACTACGTCCCTACATACGCTCAATCACATGTGTCTCCAGGTCACAGAGAATCATTGGTGCAGGGGCCCATATTGCAATTCTCACGCGTTTGCATGTATTGTTGACGCGGCATGGACACCTTGTAACATCACTATTTGATTTAAGCTGGGCCCCGTCTCGCATATCGCAATATAGCTTTGTCGAACGTTAGCGCGCGCAAAGGGAGCCGGGAACCAGCTTATATTTGATTATGATTCACAAACACATGCTCATGATATGGTCGGAATCATGCCACGGATTAGCAGATATTTATCATGAAAACAGGTTTTAATGTAGATGGCTTGAAACTTGCTTTTACAAAGGCCAATAGATTCGATCACAATACTTTTCGTTTTACAACTTCTTTTCTCTTAACATGCTGACCTCAAAACTGATTTAAATTCTAATCGCTGATTAAAGAGTAAGACAATAAATAGTATGTCAAATTATCGTTACCATGACAACCCTGTGATATGTTACCTTATGTAAGAGAGCTATAAATACGATGCTGGGTGTGGCAGTACTACTGCAGTTGACAGTGTCTGTCGTAAATTTTAATAAGTTGCTTCAACGCTATCACTAATCACTGGGTATCTATACAACTATATGTGTGATGGAGAAGCACTTGCATCGCTAGTACATCGCGCACTACCCCTTTCTCTTTTGATCTTCTCAAGCGACTGTTACAAGTTCGAAGAATCCTGGTCAAAGTTGAAAAGTCTTAAGACTATTCCCTACTATTCTGTAACATACACATTGTACCTAAAATGGGTAGAGCTTCCGTTCGGGGGAATATCAGAAGGACAGCGATACATTTATCTCCAATGTTGTAGAAGGCACTCCACTTACTTAGGAAAACAATAACTTAATGAGATATTGCATTCATGTCGGAATCAATATTTTCGGCCCCAATCAGATGTGAACTTGAACGTGCCAGGTCTGCGTCTATGTCAGACTTAAGGTCTGCGAGTTGTTTTGCAGCACTTGGGCGTAATAGTGATATAGGCCTGCTCCAAACAACGGAATACAAAGAAACTATTTTTCATTTCATGTCTCACAGAATATATAATTTGATATGGCATTGTTTGTTGTCGCATACTTTTGCGCTAGTGAAACAAATGTGGACAACTTAAAACTGCATGGCGTTATTACAGCAAAGGATGAGCGGAAGGAGAAATAACATGGTTCAGGCACTGTGAGACTATTAAGAAAGGTCACATCATATTCCCATTATGTACCGCCGAACAATAGTTTACAGTAGTGAGATGAATAAACTTAAGAAATTACGAGTTGGTACGTGTGGCATATTTGGCTGAGCTCTAAGAGAGATAAAGTGCTATTCTGTTGGGACAGCTGGGACACTTGCAAGGACAAAGGGGCAGCTCTTCGCCCTTTTGTTCATCACTCACAAGATTTGCCAACACCGCACACAAACCGTAACTGATACTTGTAGCAAGAGCGGGTGCAGCTTAATAAGCCATGTTAGCTTGCGTTATACTGCTTTGTTAGTCAGGCTCTTTTGATGATAAGAATATTGAGGTCATGTGAACGTTGATTTCAAACGTACTAAAATGTGTGAAAATGAAATTACATGAACCAAGTAATTCACAAGATGGAAACAAATGATCATCTTGCTTGAGCACAGGTAACATGAAGGTGTATGAACCGTTCATATACATACCCCTGATATCCGGTATGATACATACATATCTAAGGTGTGTAAACATTTGCAAGTTTGAAAACTTACAAGTGTTTCCCCACCTCAGTAAATTTACATGTTTCCAACCTGAGTAAACTTAGAACGAAATCGGAAATCTCACCACCCATTAAAATTCAAAGGAATGCATCGGAAATACTGTATGATCATGTATTTACTGGGGTATCTGTTTTGCAAATCATGTTTGGAAATACCTGACAATCCGGTCATGGCATACATGAACGAGGTACTTGTGCATACGAAAATGTACGATGAGCATATGTTTAACAGGTATAGATTCAAATGAAATATATGCCCGAAGTTAGGAAATATCTGAAAACATACGTAAATCCGGTCATGGCATGTATTTCCTACTGTATTTACGTTTATTTCAATGGTTTACTATCCGGCTTTTGGTCCTGTGTGAAATATGTGGGTTTTTTTATTCTAGCCTGAAAATGACCATCCGATCAACAATCCTGCTTGTCTTCTGCTTCCTGGCAACCACCACGGCGTATCTTCCCTTCATGTCACGACGTTTCCCAATGCGACTACCGTTCCCCATGCATCTTCCCCTGCGACGGCCCATGCCATACCATATGGGTGCATTTCGTGGCCACCTCGGAATGGGATTACCTGCAGTTATAGGCGGAGGTGGCGTCCACTCCATAGGTGGTGGCGTCCTTGGTGGCGGAGTCGTCTCTGGAGGCATCAACGTCATCGACGGAGGAATGGACGTTAATGTTGTTGGGGGAGGTTTTGGTCAAGGTTCTTCTCAAGTAATCTACTTTGGAGACGGGCCGGACACACCTGATCACTGTGAGTCTCAAAGATCATCCGTATCTCACATGCGTCACACAGCATACATCCACATTGTTGTGCATGTCTACTGATTCATTGTTTAAGCGTAACACTGCAGTTTCACTGATACACGCTTTCTAGCATAACTCTAGTTATTTGTGATATGGAGTACAGTAATAACTCAAAAACGTTATGACTTATATTCATAATCAATAATCAGCATGGGAGCAATGTCTATTGAAAATATTCCCGTCAGTTTCCGGGTTGTAGAGGTAGGGTCTACTGTGTTTCCGGGTTGTACAAAATCATGTAGCTTTAAGTTTGGAAGTAAGGTTCGCTTACCATGCAAGATTGTCAATGTGTTTTTAACATGAAGAGGTTCATGTAACTATGCATCAACCTCAATTTATCTTTTAATCATCGTTTTCTTTCGTTATTACAGATATGATAGGCTGACTGGCTTCTAATCCACTACAATCCGACGGAGACAGAAGATATTGCCTTCACGACTACTCCTTGAGCATCTACTGATGAAACAACCTGGTATGAAAACTGAATATGAAAGACGCAACTGTTGTGATTGTCTTGTTTCATAGAAACTAACAAAGTTGTAACCCTCGGTCTATATAAGAGGCAACTGTTGTGATTGTCTTGGTTCATAGAAACTAACGAAGTTGTAAACCTCGGTCTATATAAGAGGCAACTGTTGTGATTGTCTTGTTTCATAGAAACTAACGAAGTTGTAACCCTCGGTCTATATAAGACGCAACTGTTGTGATTGTCTTTTTTCATAGAAACCAACGAAGTTGTAACCCTCGGTCTATATAAGAGGCAACTGTTGTGATTATCTTGGTTCATAGAAACTAACGAAGTTGTAACCCTCGGTCTATATAAGACGCAACTGTTGTGATTGTCTTGTTTCATAGAAACTAACGAAGTTGTAAACCTCGGTCTATATAAGACGCACGTGTTTTGTTTCTTTCTCTCTGTGTGTATTGCCATCATAATGATGTAAAATATGAGAAATAAAGTATCGTGTTTTCATATTGATAGTTTGGTTATGTTGACATTACCGACCCTCCTTAAAGGATCGGTGTCGATCTCCTTGCCTCAGTAATTGTCCCTACATCACAGCCCTCAATGATTTCAAGATTCTTTGTACACCTTCTACGATGGTAGCATCTGTCGGGGCACAAGGCCAACACGTGACCCTAGAAAACTGTTCTCACTCTTGTATCTTTTGTTTCAATCCTTGTTTTCAATTGCACCCCTTAGACCAAGAGAGTAGGGAATAAATGTTGGAGGTAGCTGTGTCATTGTGATGACAAACCAGGTTACCCAAGGGGATGCAGTAACCGCTGAATCCAAGTCTTCACAGGGTGATGCAACAACAACTGAATCTAGGTCACCACAAGGTAATGCAACATCTGAATCTAGGTCACCACAAGGTGATGCAACAACAACTGAATCTAGGTCACCACAAGGTGATGCAACAACAACTGAATCTAGGTCACCACAAGGTGATGCAGCAACAACTGAATCTAGGTCACCACAAGGTGATGCAACAACAACTGAATCTAGGTCACCACAAGGTGATGCAACAACAACTGAATCTAGGTCACCACAAGGTGATGCAGTAACCGCTGAATCCAAGTCTTCACAGGGTGATGCAACAACAACTGAATCTAGGTCACCACAAGGTGATGCAGCAACAACTGAATCTAGGTCACCACAAGGTGATGCAACAACAACTGAATCTAGGTCACCACAAGGTGATGCAACAACAACTGAATCTAGGTCACCACAAGGTGATGCAGTAACCGCTGAATCCAAGTCTTCACAGGGTGATGCAACAACAACTGAATCTAGGTCACCACAAGGTGATGCAGCAACAACTGAATCTAGATCACCACAAGGTGATGCAGCAACAACTGAATCTAGGTCACCACAGGGTGATGCAGCAACAACTGAATCTAGGTCACCACAAGGTGATGCAGCAACAACTGAATCAAAGTCATCACTAGGTGATGCAACAACTGAATCTAGGTCACCACATGGTGATGCAGCAACAACTGTATCTAGGTCACCACAGGGTAATGCAACAACAACTGAATCTAGGTCACCACAAGGTGATGCAGCAACAACTGAATCTAGGTTACCACAATGTGATGCAACAACAACTGAATCTAGGTCACCACAAGGTGATGCAGCAACAACTGAATCTAGGTCACCACAAGGTGATGCAACAACAACTGAATCTAGGTCACCACAAGGTGATGCAACAACAATTGAATCTAGGTCACCACAAGGTGATGCAGCAACAACTGAATCTAGGTCACCTAGGTCACTACAAGGTGATGCAGCAACAGCTGAATCAAAGTCATCACTAGGTGATGCAACAACTGAATCTAGGTCACCTAGGTCACAACAAGGTGATGCAGTAACCGCTGAATCCAAGTCTTCACAAGGTGATGCAACAACAACTGAATCCAAGTCTTCACAAGGTGATGCAACAACATTTGAATCTAGGTCACCACAAGGTGATGCAGCAACAACTGAATCTAGGTCACCACAAGGTGATGCAGCAACAACTGAATCTAGATCACCACAAGGTGATGCAACACCAGCTGAATCTAGGTCACCACAAGATGATGCAGCAGCCACGTGAATGAGTTTATCGAGCGAAATGCTGGAACTCACTGTTACACTCGTCGTACTTTAATATGCTTTTACCGATATACTCACTCACTGATCGACACTTAGTTATCGTACAAAAGAAATGTGTAAGTCTGCTGCACATGTTCTACCTTATGCTGGTCGTCAACAGGAAGCCATCGAGCATAACATGTGACCTACAACGACTCTTGGGAATATTTGTGTGAAACCGGTGTCATTTAAGCCTGTGTGAAGGCTACAATTAGAGAAACCTTGTTTGGAATGGACGCTCGATGACTACCTTCAATTTTAAAGTCAAGTGGAAGCCCAACTTCATTATGTTTATTTTGAACCGATCCTTCCATGTGAAGACAGCCGTGTGTCTATGTGAGTGGTACTGACAAGTACAAAGTGATGACTGAAATTAACTAATTATCCAAAGATTGACTGTAACTAAAGGTTTGTTTTATATCATGCACATATCATTTAGGTATCTGCTATAATTCGGCCATTCACAAGGATTAAAAATGTCTTTATTACTTCTTTTAGAAACTTTGAGCAGCCTTGATGGTGTATTGGTGCCTTTTACGTGGCTTTTAGATGTGTGTTGGAGTTATGTACACGTCCATGTTTCGGGCCTCTGTGGTTTGTGAGTGCTTGTTTGCGGAGTAGAACTCTTATAGTAATTTTCCCTAGAACTATTCACTGGTTATCCAATGGTGCTTTTGTGCTATCTATCGACATTACATTCCATATAATGTTCGTCATATCGTCAGCTGTTCCTCCAGAAGAATGTTGGACTACGATTCACTGTGGAGCCCCACATCTGTTCTCTGTATCTTCATCAAACACTATCTGCACATCAACCAGGTGAACTGACGGTTGTTTTTGCAAGATACGGAGAATTGGATGCATGGCATGGGACTAACCATCTGTGTCTATATGGTGGATTTCGGATTAGTCCTTGTCAATATGTCAATAACATTCTGGCCAGGACAACCTTGCAATAGCCAGCAGTTACATACGAAATGGGCCAAATCACTTGAACAAACCTCAAATAATTGAAACAACTCTAGATGCGATAAATTCGCTTAAGGAGTATCAGAAGAAGAATTCATTACATATCCACGCTCTTATGTGTCCTGAAAATGCATTTAACAGAAAGTTCTTAAAAATCTTAAGTTTTTTGTTTCTGCGGAAATGTATTTTATAGTCTAAAAAATTATCTGATAATATTATTATTCGTTCAGAAATACCTCAGAAATATATTTCAGCAGTGATATTGAGAATACACTGATGGCAGGCAGATAGCTGAGGGTATGACACGCAGATTGCCAACACATCTCTCTCTATACACGTACTTGATCAGTTATAAGAGAAAAACAGTCAGTTATTTTTCTTATATGTTCTGTAAACTAGTGGGAAAAGAATGTATACACTGATTCAAACAATTCTATGCTGAAAACAGACACGGTAACACTTCATATGTAACTGGGATAGTTTTTATCGCCATTGAATATTCATTTCTAGTTTGGACCGTCTACACTCGAATGTGGTTCTTTAGCTTCACCTGTCCATCGGTTCATATCATACAGTACAATGGCGGGACACTATATGCATATGCCTGGAAGCATGTCTATTGTATGATAATATACGGGTACGGTAATGATCGTATGTTAATGAACTCAAAAGCAGTTTGCATCCTTCATTGTATGTACGTGAGGAATCGAACCCGGGACGTTGCAGTAAGATGCTAGACTTTAACCACCTGGCTATCGTACCGCACCTCACCTGAGATAAAATATGGTGTCAGCGTTATGGAATCTCTAGGTTTCGGAAACAAATTCTCGTTTGTAATTATCTTATAACCTAACCATTAATTAACCTGTGGCAATTGAGTAGAACATTGTGCATTCTAGCGTATTCTTCAGGATAATTTCCAGACAATATCCGTGTCTGGAAGTACATTGAAAACTTACTTACCCACTGCCGAGTTTGACACAAGGTAGTATCATTTAATATCGAACTATCAGGGGGGTCACTACATGACGAAGTGTGAATCAAAAACATTTTGTAATTTATCCACATTCTGGTCACAGAGTATAAAAATGCCGGGATAGGCTCTGGGAGAGCTCAGGGAGGAGTCTGGTTACTTTCTAAGATATATATTTCGTTTGTTTGATATATTCTTGTTAGGTTTGGCGAATTCTATATGTTCGCAGTATCATTTTCTAAACATGTATTTCCGTAGTCTTTAGAATTACCGTATTGACTATGAGATGACAGAAACATGAACACAACAGACACAAGACTTGATGACAACAGCTATATTGTATTTTTAATTGAAGACACAACTGAACAACACAACAGCAATAAACCATCTTCATCAATGTTAAACAGAAAAAAATAAGTGAATGAAAACTGCAAAAATATATTTTCACAGAACAAACAAATACATAGAATTGACTATTGAGTATATGTCTCCGGATATACACTCATTCTTTTCTCGGATTATCTTTCGCAAACTTGTTGAGATACTCCAAGGATAATAATTTATTCTTTATTCTCGTCAAGTGGCCTGGATTCGTGATGAGTGGTGACGCCAAGTAAAATCAGCCGATCACGTCTGAAATACAAGAGGAGAGATATTCAGATGGGGGCGGTGTTAAACAAGAAACAATCAATATTTGATGAATGTGCAAGAGCATGTGCAATACGCTAACATATACACCATCACTTGGTGTCATTACAACATTGCAGGAAAACTGCCGACGTGGATTTCTTCAAAATAGTTTCCAAATGAAACACATTAATGTCCAAAATGAGATGGGATGCTGACAATGAAGGCTTACGACTCAGTTCTTTTAAT